GATTACTTGCGGATATTGAAACAAATATTCAATTCACAGGAATCCATACCAAATACAGTTCTACTTTTATCGGCGCAACAACCTGCCACAGTAAAGAATATATGGGCATACTAAACAACTCCAAAACCATTACGAGACCTTTTCAAAACACGGGCAAAATTAAACACGACACTGAACACAAAATAAAAGGCACAGGTCGACCGGTGTTTTCACGCTCATACAGACTGCACCCGCACAAATACAAGTTCGTTAAAAAGGAATTTGACAAAATGCTTCGGGAAGGAATAATTAGTCCCTCCATATGCTTCATCTTTGCTTCTTGTGCCTAACCAGACAAAAGTGATTATCGACCCTGTGTAGATTTCCGAAGGCTGAATACATCTAGCTTTCAGGACAAATATCCTGTCCCACATATTACATGATTTTACACTTGGTTTACCTGGTTCATGCGTATTTCCCAGAATTTGATTTCTCACGAGTTTACATTCAAATTCCTGTCGCAGAGGAAGACATAAAAAAAAATAACCGCAGTCACTTCACCTTTCGGACTATACGATCTCGTCCGGATGCTCTTAGGACGTCAAGGCTGGTCAGTTATTTCAACGGCTGATTGATCAAGTCTTGAGATGTTTACTATTTGTACATAGACGACATTCTTCTAGCTAGTACAATTACCGGGGAACAGAAAGATCATCTACACCAAATTTTCCAGAGACCTAGTTCGGTCTCAAAATTAACGTCAATAAGTGCATTTTTGGTGCCTCAAAAATCACATTCCTGGAATATGTCATATATTAAGATGGAATCACGCCCCTGACCGGAAACTTAAAACCAATTGAAAATCTTTCTTTACCGACTTCTATTCATCAATTGCGTCAATTTATTGGTTTATTAAATTACTACAAAGATGATATAAATATACAAAATCTTAACTTTCTACATTTTACAATTATTTTTTATGGTGACTGCAGTGAAACAAAGTTCTCTGTGTCTCTTGGGTAGGTCCATTCTCTTTCTCGTCCAGAAGTTTGGGTAGGTAAGTATAAGTATCGAATTCATGGTCGAGCTCAAGTCAGCCTTGCACAAAGTTAGAACGACTAAAGGAATGTTTCTACTTACTTTATCATTGGAAGGTTTAACTATGGTTATGGAATGTACGTTCACTTTGTCTTGGTCCAGAAGTTAGGGTAAGTCACAGTAAACATCGTAACAATAGTTGCACTCAAGTCAGCCTTGCGCTGAGTTGGAACAACTAAAGAGAAAGTTTGACCTATTTCATAGATTAAGTTTTTGGAAGACACGTGAGAGAGCCATGAGTTGAAAAGTAAGAAGAGAGTTCTGTTGTCAGTGGACACGGAAAACTACGTTCCCAGCGGAAACGTAATTTCCACGTGGTGCGACATCATGAGACAAGAAGAAAAGATAGTAAGGCAGGAAATATTTGACGTTTTATATATAGGCTTGAACAATGCCACTTAACAACGTTTGACGAAGTAGGGTAATAATATTTCCGATTATTTTACTCTTAACATCGTGGGAAAATGTAATTTTTTTCTTTTCTTTTTTTGCTATTACTCATTATTATTATTAATATCTTTATCAATTTTATTTCATTTTCCCAATACTTCTATCATTAACTAATCTATTACAAAATAAAAACGAAAATATCAAATATATAAAAATTTACTTTGTAGGAATAGAATGGAAAAAGAGAGCACGTCACACATTAAAAATTCTTTTCGGGAAACATCCCAAATGGATTTTACTACTGGGTCCTTAATCTGCATTCTCGTTTTAGTGTCTGTTCGTCTTGGTAGTTCCTTCCCAGTTGAATGATTTATGATTCTCCTCTGCCTTGAAATCTGATTAGTCGCTGCTTTTATCTACTGGTCAGTCGCTATATATAAGAAATCGGGAGGCTTCAAAAACAGATCCTAATTTCAAAATTGACGTGGGCATGAGACGATGTCTCTAATTGGTCAGTAAATAAAATAATATATATTTTTTCATATTAAAAAAACTGAATTGACAATAATTCACACAGAAGAAATAATGTTGACGATTATAAAAATAGAAATGATTACAGACGATATGTTCTGCCTTTCGATGTAACGATATGTTCTGCCTTTCTTTAAAATGCATTTCTCTCAAAATTACGTGTGATTGAGAACCTAGGCGATTATAATATTTATGCATTTACACCTAATATATTATTAATTTTAATTATTTTACGCTACTAAAATATAAAGTTTTTATAGCCTTCTTATTCACCTTTAAATCAGCATTAAACTACCACATTGAAAACAACATTCTCGTTGATTAACACCAACCAATGAAACTTCTTCCCGATAAAATCCAAATTTCTTTCTGGGAGACAATTGTCAAGCATAAAAACCTTGACCCCTCAGACAGCCCAAAGAGAGACATTCCAAGAAAGCATTTCATAAGACACACGACTCCGCATCACTCTGACGAACATCTCTCCTCTTTGTAGATTTCACATCACAAGAATATCATATGAGAAAACTATGAACCTCTACAAACTTTCATCTGCTCTACCACGAATCCAGTGGGCCTTTCAGCTAAGTGTATTCTCATTAGGTATTGTTATACTCTGTTGCAATTCGATTTCTTTCTGATTCATTCTGCGTGCTGGCCGGATGTGAACGCCACGAAGGCATAGAGCAAAATAAAATTAAAAAAAATGTCGTTATCTGCGCATAGGCTCCACTCATCGTGTCTGGTTACGGAAGCAAGCCCCTGCAATGAAAGCAACACTTACGATATCCGATGACGATCAGAGTTGTGGGACGGCGGGCCACCGGCCGACACACTGGGCGCTGTTGCTAATGCTGCTGCTGCCGCCGCCAACGCCACTGACATAACATCTCAACTTCGACACCACCCAGCTACAAGCTTTTATCGTCGCCGACACTATCACCTCGGCAAACCCGACTCAGTACAGCTTCGACCCCACCCACCTACAAGTCTTCATCGTCTCCGATGCTGTCACCTCAGCAAATACCAACCAACGAAACCGACACACCACCGTGACTTCAATCAGCCAACACGTACAAAGCATTCCCTTTACAGGCCCCGTTCCATAGAACAGACCTACCAACCACGCTAAGCCGACACCACTTCGTCAATTTGGTAACCCATGGCCATCATCTCGGTCTACCCGATTCGTTACAAGGCATTCCCTTTAAAGTCTCATCGTTGCCCCATTCCATAGAACTGGCCTACTAACGAACTAAATCGACCCTCCACCGTGACCTCTATCAACCAACCTGGACACTGACCGTATCATGTTATCTCACACCAAACCCACACGAGAATTAGGTCAACTCCCGTCGCTTCCCTTACACTCGATCGCCGTCCTGACGATCGGCCACTGAAGCTGACATTTCACTTAGCTTCGCCATATCTGTACGACACAGAAAGCAACAAACGCTGTTCAAAATCTAATCCTCGTTATTCCTTTCTCTCGCAACCAAACGCTTATTATAACAGTTTTCATTATTGCAATAAATGTTGTGTTTATCTATCTCAGTAGTAATCTCAATTTTACATTATTGATTGTCTCAGAAGGAAAACCTTTACTAACAATGCAACAAGAACATGCAAGCCCAAAATTTCTACTTTTCTCTTTTTTCCCAATGCTAACCGCAACAGTGGGGATATATCGAAAATTCGACCAGAATCTTACCAAAAATAATTCAATAAAACTAAAAAAAACATTTTTTTTAGAATTCATGCTTTCATAATTTAATAAAACGAGTTATTTTCTTTCAGATTGGACGGAACTAAAAAAAAATCTACAGTTAATATTTATTTTAAAAAATGACGTGTAATTTTTCAGTGGTTTTAAAATTCATCGCCTTGCTGTTCGCCATAAGAGCTTCTTTTATTAAATAAAGACATGGTTGAAGATTTTAAAAAGTTTAATGCCATTTTCGAGTGTAACCCCCTTTTTTTTTTTTTAAAAGAAACTTATTTTATTTTTCTTTTAACAGTTTTTGTTATGGATGTACAAAAAGCACATAATTTTGACTTTGAATTAACTTTTTAGGTTGTCGGAGTTAGCTCCTCCTTAATTCCCTAATTGTTCACTAGGGGACACTCTCCCTGCACTATAAATACTGGGCGACTTCTTGCCTCGTTCTGTTTTTCACTTTGCATTTCAGCAGACACATTTAAAAATGTAATCTCTCGTAGAAATCCGCGTTTTGCCCACTTATGGGAAGACGCCATGAAACACACATACACGTACGTACGAACATTCACCAAAATACAAACTCTTTACTTTCACACACAAACACAAATGTTAATGTCTTTGTCACTTGTAAATTTGTTGTTTAATACATATATTTGTTGACATGTATATATCGGTCTTGTTTGTTTTCTTTACATCTTCGGTTGGACTCAACTTGAGTCCGCCATGTTCTTGTCGTTGGACTTTCTAGCAGGAATAAACTATGTCCCTGATTCATTACACTCAAACCCACACGGTCCTCTACAAGGCCATTATCTTTCAAATAGAATCGAAATTTAGATTCGAAGCAGACATTCTAATGATTTAAAATGCGTTTGTCAGTATTTTAGAAAGTCCCTGGCGGTACCTATAAATTTTTCTTGTTTACATATTCACCTCTTTGGAAAACACAGCAGCTTAACCTTTAGCTGTCCTTGGAGAATCAAATTTTGAACACAAAGACACACTTGTTCACTTCATGTATATACATTGAAAAAGATTCTCGTGTATATTGTTGTTCTGTTTTCTCACAGCTTAGCACAGCATACTCATTGTGGAAAACATTAAGTTAAAGAAACCTGCTTGTTGATTAATTTGGTTCGTTTGACAAGAACTGTCAGCCATTACGCCCAAAATGTATAAGCGTAATTACTGTTTACTTTGACAAGAATTTGTTACTTTGTATTTGATCTGTAAACTTATTCATTGTTATTAAAAATGTTCATTTTATAAATATTGATGCAATATGCTTTTTCTTTTTCTGCTGGAGTATGAAGGTGCAGTGATAGAGAAAAAGATCACTATAAAAAATAAAAAGCTAAAATGTTGAAAACCATTTTGGTTTGCCATATTGAAATAAAAACAATAAGAAAAAAAATAAATAAAAGAGGCCAAAGGTTATCGTTCCTAAATATGGGTGAAAAAAAAAAAGGATTGTCAAATGAGTCATTTCTGGAACTAATCAAAATCAAGAAAAATTCGGGAATGAATTCTATTATCTTTTTAAAAAAGTGTTACGAAGACAGGTAGTGACAGGCAGGCAAACGGGACGGACTAGCCGCTGAAAAGAATTTCATCCGCTCTCCCTTACCCTCAAGGTTCACACACCTAAAAATCCCACACAGAGAATTGAAAGAATTACTGCTATTAACAAATACACACCTACATAAACATTGACAGACTCTACTCTCTCTCTCTCTCTCTCTCTCTCTCTATATATATATATATATATATATATATATATATATATATATATGTGTGTGTGTGTGTGTTAAGGACTGAAAACTTTCAACACAAGAACTTTATAATAGGAACTTATGAACTCTTTGAATATTATTGTATATTCTATTTGGAGAGATATAAATTTTTATCAGTACATGCTATATGTCTGTTGAATCTGACTTCTACATTTCAGTGGATCACACCCAATTTCCATAATACTGTTACTTAACAGCGTCCTGATTGGACAATAAATATTAAAATTGTATTTTGTGTATCCTCACGTGCAAAGTTCTAAAATCTTGGGCAAGCTAAACACATAGAGGCTCCAAACCAAATTTCAGCAACTGACATATTCTGATTGGTCTATTAATACCAAGGTCATGTTTCCGCCTAAGCACAATTGAAAACCACCCAAATTAAGAAAACGTGTTCTCGAGCCTATCACGTGATCAACAAGTAAATAAATATGGTACGCTAGCCAATCTCGCCAGTGAGCACCGTAACATCAACGCAATCACCTACTAAAAAGTACGTCACACATTCTGAGGCACAAAGTTACACATTAACATAATCTCAGCCTTCCAGAACATTCACTCACTCAAGATGTTCACACAGCAGCTTTCGTTCATTCTTGTAAGTGAATTAACATCTAAGTTCTCAAGCAGAGAATATTATTATTACACAGCAAAGTTCTCAATTACAGAACATTATTTTATTCAGAATTTGCCTAAACATTTATTATTTACTTTTTGACAACATTACGGTCAAAGAAAAACAACTCTAGAACAACTAAGTTTTTTTTTCCCAATTTACACTGGAAATTATATTTCACAAACACTGTTTAATTATCTCATAAACAGAATTATTCTTTCACTAACTCCGTGAAACTTATATCGCCACAACTACAACGAATATTTCTTCAGGCGTAAACTCACACACTGCATCTCCAAACACCAAAATAAGAGTTTACACATACAATTAAAATAATTAGCATCACAAAGATTTCACTTACAAATCTTTCCTCATTTCAGCATAATGCATTGTATCTGTTATGCTATATAAATCAAAATATTGTTTGTCATTCAAAAACTGTTTTTTGCATTATTTCTCTTGTTGTTTATTGTTTCTTGGTACACTTGTTGAAAGCAAAAATAGTTAAGATTGAACTAAGATCGTTCGAATTACTACATGTCTATTTGCATTAATTATCTTTGCATGCATTTTTAAAAGGCCATAAATTGGTGTATATTTGTCTTAAGGACGTTTATCCTAAGATAACCACCTGTAAATAAGTAAACCCATATTTTGGTGAGTTCCACATCTCCACACTAAACAGATCACCACACTAATTCCTTGACTACCACAAAGGAAAGGGAATGTCTTGTGTTTTATTTCCACTTCTTTTGAGTAAGTTGCTCTTGTTAGAATGTAAATTATTGTCGTGAAGTATTGTTTGCGGTACAAATGTACTTCCTTAGGTGTATATCAATCTGGGTAACCGACAGGGAATTCTGAACTGAACCCTTTATTTAATTTACGGGGTGGGTAGACTGGATTCGTTTCACTGCCCATATCCAGGGATATCGCCTAGTTCTTATAGTGCTTAAACTGCTTAATTATTGCCCTCGCCCGTTTCTACTCGTTTCTTCTATTGAGTCTGTGGGAGTATGGGTACTAATGTGCTGATCTGTTAGTGTGGAGATGTAGAAGTCACTTAAGTAGGGGTTTCCATTTACTTGTTTAATTATCAACTGGTATTTTAAATGCCGAAACTTATACATTATTGGTGTTTACACATTAGTTAAAGTAGAAGAATTCTATTTCATGTTAAACAAATTTTCCCCTATTATAAAAATTACAACTAATTTGGTTTGAGAGCTGCATAAAACTTCTTTGCTTTTTTTTTTTTTTTTTTAACCTCCATTGTAATTCACGGCAGTACTGTGGATTGTCCATCCATTTCTTTCTTACCCGGATGTGCTTGTTAATAGCAGATGTTTCGGGGTTGGGGGTCTTGTAACAAGTCCGATTCTTGGTATTTCCATCTCAGTTATTTTTAGAACATTTAATGAACAATAGCACAGCTCTCGCTCTCTCTCTCTCTCTCTCACTCACTCACTCACTCACACACACACAAAATACACACTATCTCTCTCTTTCTCTCTCTCTCTCACACACACACATTTTTGAAAATCCGGATAAAAAATTTTCTGAAGTCAAAAAAAGAGATAATGCTCTAAATTGAAACGAGCTTGCTTAAAAAATCGACGATATACTCAGTTTTTGTACTTCCGCATTCCCACCGAACGAAAAAAAATGTAAGAACGCTGGAAAAAACTAAATAAAAAATTAATAAAATTTTTCTTGTCCGTCATATTTAACGAAAGAATTAAAAAAAAAAAAAAGGATGCTACCCAAGTATATTATATATAGAAAAAGTTTGGCTTCATTTTGCAAGAAACCGTGTTAGTAACATTCTAATTTTCATAATTAGTTTTTAATACAATATTTTTTTATTTATTAAGATAATTTCTATATTAATTTTTGCATCGTTCCAACGTTTTAATTATTATTTTTTCATACAGATTTTAATATTATTAAAAATAATTTTTATAGTACCGGGGTAGGTTTAATTTGTCATTTCTTCAGATTAGCCGATGTCATAGGTTTAGATTACATAGTAAGAATTTAAATGATTTCAGACTCATTTACTGAATGTCTACCATGTCTTTAAATACCATGAATCGATAGAAAAAAAAAAAAAAAATAAGCAAATGTGATTTAAATCGTTTAATAAATTCCTGTACATCTATAAAAAATATAGGCCATCTCCTAGATGGCTCCTGCTGATAATAAAAAGAGTCTATTATAAACTGATAATGAGCATAGCTCAAAATTAGGCGCGAAATAGGATTTCGAGCGCCAACGAAGAGACACCGAATAAAACACGGAATGAATGGACGTTTGTCAGATTACTCCAAACCGGAGACGCCAAGAAGAATATGGAGCGATGAGACATGTTTCCAAACCATTCAAGAAACAGGCATGCTGACCACAAGCTAACCTGAATAATACAAGGACATGCAGCTAATACAACATAATATGAAACACCAATCAAATGTGTGTCATTTATTTCAAACAGATATGTTTCGTCCCCGGTATCTTGACTTTTAACTGCTAAAAGAATATGTTTTTAGCAATACAACTATTCTCTTTATTGTCATGCATTGTGTTTCTTGTGTTTTTACAATGTTCAGTTGTCTCACTTTGTTCATCAAGCCACGACCCTGTTTGGAAGGTCGGTAAATTTCCCAGATTTTACTAAAAACATATTTGCAAGTAAGCAATTTTGCCAAACATAAACACAATTTCACTAAACAAAAAAAAAAAAAAAAAGAAAAAAGAAAAAAAGAATTTACTATATGTGAGCAATTTATCGAATGCATAAAGCAATTTTTTTGGCATGCTGACAAAGAATTTTAAAATAAATCGAGACAGATTTTACTATAAAAACGTTGAGAGAGAAAGTATTTAATAAATTGCTGTCCTTTTTATGAGAGAAGATATATCCCAAGAATTTACTGTTTTTATATGTGAAAATATATATATAATTTCGGAAATTTTATTTTCTGAAAGAAAATAAAACCTGCTGCAACAGTATTTTCACTATTGCCCGAATTAATGACGAAAAGGAAAGAAAACAAATGCAAATGAGATTCAATTACAAAGAAAAATATTTATTTATTTCTAACCAGCTAAATAAGGGTTCTTGCAAAAATTCGTCACTTTTTACTGAGAATAAGATAACCTATTCTCTGATTAACACAATGTAAAATATATATCAGAAAAACAATTCTTAAAATTACAATGCACAAAAAAAACAAAAAAAGAATAGCACCCACCTGCTGTGTCAATGATAACAATAAAAAAAGGTGGGGGAAGAGCCATAGCTCTACAGTACACTTTCAGTCATTTCAAGGTTCAAAAGTTTTTATCTTTTTTCTTTTCATTCTTGTGTAGACAAGGTTGTCTTCTTGGTGACCAAACTCCCTTCTTTCTTCACTTATTTTCCTCCCGTCCGCCTGGAAGTTACGTCTTTATTTTACGGCCGCTAGAAGGTGAAAATTTACTTAAACACATGCTAAAACACCTTTTGAATACGCACGTGTTTACTTCTTCTTCTCAAACGGCTTTAGCTCCAGACTTCACTTATGGACTTCTTTTCAACTTTCTTTTCTGGGGCTTCTTCAAGGGGACTTCTCAAAACTTTCTCTGAAGGGGAAACTTGCCCTCAGCAACTTTGTTACCCATGCATCCTTCACTTATGCGCAAACGCTGCCTGCCTTTTCAGTTGAGAGAGAGAGAGAAAACGAACCTCTTCTTTCTAAGCTGTCTTGTTTCCAACTGCTGCTAACGTCCAGTCCCAGTTCTCCCTTCCCTTTCAAAGTGGGGGCAGTTCACCTTTGAACCGTCCAATCACAGTCCATTAAAAAAAAATATCAGCAGGTTCCTAGGGCCAGTAACACAGAGAGTGTCTTTTTTTCTCCCTGACCTACAAATTTTCAAAATAAAAGATAATTTTTGCTTTCACAATTCAGTGAAGTTAATGCTGATCTAATTGATGTGAATTCATTCGCGTCATCCTTCCATAAAGATGAACATATCAGTAATGAAATAGACGCAAAAAGTTCGAAAAAACAATAAAGTTAAAAGACAACTTGTATTTAGTGGGATTGCTTTGGCAGGATCAAATCAGTGCCATCTAATTATCAAATAGCCTTGAAAGTGCTTGATAAGACTATGCATTCTTTAGAAGGAAAAAATTGACTACTCTGCTTATGACGATATTATTCAGCAACAAGAGACCGAGGGGATTATGGAAAGAATTGAAGTCTCCCTTCAAAACTTTATAAAATATAATTGGATCCCTTACAGACCGGTCTTCAAATCTGATGAACAAGTAGCTATAAAATCTAAACGTCTATCATATTGGGTGGAGTACGACTGATACTGAACTATTACCATTAACACCTAATGTCTTTTTGCATACTAATGTTAATGGAGAAATTTCTGTGAAAACTGATTCTGGAGGATCTACTGATATTAAACCTACTTCCAGTTCTCAGTTATTAGAAATTCCCACTGAAAAGGAGAAATTATTAACTTCAAAGAATTATGGAATATCTTTTGGAAAAAAAAACGTTGCAAAGATCTACATAATAAGAATTTTAATAATAAAATACAAATTGACGATATAGTATTAATTAGATATCCTATAACGGCAGACCATTCTGGAAACTTGGAAGAGTGATTGAACATTTCTGGGGAAATGTACATTCAGTAGGCATAACTAGAGGAAATGCATTCTATAAGAATCATAACATACAACATCTGTTTACAATGGAACTTTCCTTGACACCCAGGACTGAAGTGGTCATAATGTAAGTCCTGGGTAAACTGTATCCATCCATTTAATGGTCATTTATGACCACTTTAGTCCTGGGTAAACTGTATTCCGACCACTATAAATACTGGGCGATTTCTTGCCTCGTTCTCTTTTTTACTTTGCATTTCAGCGGACACATTTAAAAAATGTGATCTCTCACAGAGATCGGCGTTTTGCCCACTTGTGGGAAACACATACACGTACGTACGAACATTCATCAAAATACGAACTCTTTACGTTCACGCACAAATACAAAAGTTGATGTCTTTGTCCATTGTAAATTTTGTTGTTCAATACATATACTTGTTTTATATATATATATATATATATATATATATATATATATATATATATATATATATTCTGTTACGCCTGGGGTTTCGTTGGGACTACGATAGCCGGGACGCAACAAGAAAAAAAAAAAAAAAAAGTAAGAGATCCCAAGGTTCGATATAAAAAAATAAAGAAAAGAACGTTGGGAGGGGAATTCTCCAATTCGGACGTCGGTAAACGCAGAGAGAAAATGAACAATTCGCAGACACAGAACAACAGAAGACAACTCGAGAATAATACAAAGTTTTTATTTCTAGAATACACGGAGTGTAAGAAAAAGAAAAAGAAAACTAAATAATACAAGGGATGGGGGAGATAAATTACCAATTATTAAACAGATACTAATGCGGCGAAATTCATATGAATACAGAAATAGCAGACTATAAGATATGGAAAAACATGCAGAAACTTACATAAGTTTGGAATCGACGTCGATTGACAATTATCGGGGTACAATTTGTTCAAAGAATATTTATACACTTCTTTGATGGGATTGGCAATGTTGATTTACAATCTCGCGTCGGTCCTTTGGTTTTTGGTGGCATCTAATTCTTCTAATGGCGAATAGCTAAGACGGGTTTTTGGTGACGTCCGACTCCTCTGATAGCCAGCAACTGTGTGTGTTTTTTGTTACCTTAACACGTCCGAAACGAAAACTGCTATATTTTGAGTCACGTGTTGGCCCCCCAAAAAAGGTATGCGTCATTCACAGACCCTGTTAATATCATCCACAGTTATCTGTCAAACAGCGTTATTCTTGGCCAGGGACTATGGAACTGGTTAACATCATTCACACCTGTCAAACAGCGTTTGTTTGGCCTACGCGTCAGGGATCAGGTAGGAAATGGGGGTAGAAGGGAAGGTTCTTTTCCGAGAACTGGCCCTGACTCATCTGGTTATAAAAACAATATGTATCTCACAATCTGCATATTTAAGAAATAAAGAAGTTAAGATTCATATGTTTCGTCGCAAATACAAAATGTACTGAAAATGTACTTATAAAATCTGAGGTGAGGGTACAAATATGGGGTTAACGTAACAATATATATATATATATATATATATATATATATATATATATATATTGGTCTTGTTTGTTTTTTTTACATTTCTTTATGGTGGATTCAATCTCTGAGTCCGCCATATTCTTGATTCTCTTCTATCAGGAGTTACACGCGTGTTCCTAATTTAACAACACATAAACCCACTGTCCTCTACAATGGGTACAAGATTTAAAACAATTTAGTTCAGAACACAAGTGTTAAATTTAAAATACTACATATTCACAAATGCAAGGGATCACTTAGAATAATGCAAGATCTATATTCATAGAGAGAAAATTCAACTCGTATTGTCAGAAACAGACAGTTTTTCCTGTTCATCAGTACTTTCGAACCAAGGAGTCTATTTGGAATTCATCTATAAAGTCCTGACTAGTCCTGCCCTTGGTAATACTTTAAACTGCATCAACGTCAATTTATACCTCAATCCATTCCTGGATACAACTTTAAACTGTATCTATTCATACAGCTATACTGTCCTGGTTAAGACTTTAAACTATATCCAGTGACGAAGCCTCGCTTGCGGGACTTGTGGAGTGAGGAGTCACACCTTGATTGTCTTTACTCCCAGGTCCATTCTGACCCGGAGTGGTAGTACCTGATAGGGTTGATCTTGATAAAACAAACTGTTTACATGCAATCTATTGGAGAATTCAACACAGAACTTTTTAACGGCGCTGTATTTATCGTCGCGACTGAAGTTTACCAATACTTTAAAGAAATGATCCAGCAAGATGTATAAACATCACCAACAGGGCATAGACCAAATAATAATTCCAGTTGAAGAAAACACTTCTCAAAAGAAGATCCAACCAAAATGCACTTCAAACTATCCAAGTCAAAAGAAGTACCAACCAAAGTGCATTTCAAACTACCCTCGAACATTTGAACCACGTTATGATGACAGGATACTATGGGGAGATTATATGGTTCAACTGAAGTAACCACAAAGTATACTTTTAATCATGCACACACTCATAAAACATAACTGGGACAAAATAATTAAACTATACAACTTATAAATAATAAAATGTAGTGTCATGAAAATAAATACAAATGACAAAAGTATGAGTAATGTCATTTTTAATTGGTATAACTAATACTTGAAATACAAGGGGAGAAAATAACATTTTATTAAACAATAATTGTAATAGTATACATGATAACACATGAGCTGAGAATTTATAACTAGCCTCTAGTAGGGACACAATTCTAATTGAATTAACAAATTTACAAGTGTCCAAAAAAGAGATAGTGGCCTAAGATTTGGTGTTTAGACGTGGAAGTCACCAAAGTAGGGGTTTATTTGTTTACAGGTGATTATCTTAGGATAAGGTCCTTAATCCAAATATACACCAATTTATGACCTTTTAAAGATGCATGCATAGATAATTAATACAAAGATATGTACTAAAAAAAATTATGTCTCACAAAATAAAATATAAAATAATATTCAAAGAGTTCATAAATTCCTATCAGAAAGTTCTTGTGTTGAAAATCTTTCAGTCCTTTTTAGGTATGCAAGTATTTCTTGATAGTAGTAATTATTCGTTTGAATCCGTCCGTTGAATTTTTAAGTGTCCGAATCTTGAAGGTGAGGGACAGCAGATGAAATTCTTTTCAGCGGCTGGTCCAGTCCGTTCGCCTGCGCATAACTGTCTTCGTAACACATTTTTTTTTCTAAAGATAATGGCATTCATTCCCGAATTGTTCTTGATTTTGATTGGTTCCAGAAATGGCTCATTTGACAATCCCTTTTTCTTCACCCACATTTAGGAATGATAACCTTTTGGCCTCTTTTATTTATTTATTTATTTTCCTTATCTTTTTGTTTTTATTTCTTTATGGCAAACCAAAATATTTTGCCAACTTTTAGCTTTCTATTTTTTATTTTTGAAATAGTGAGCTTTTTCTTTTTCTACACACTTTGACTTATAGATGCATTCACTAATAATCGGCTACAATAATGCCGAGGGATATATCAATAATAATAATATATCAAAGACTGTCATATTTCACACACAGTGAAGTAATTCGTATTGAATAGCTCTAAAAAGTTAATTAAAAAGTTCGTGTTTACACTAGCAGGGGATACTGATGTGTGGAATTGATGAAAAGCCATTTGTATTAATAAAGAATTGATTTGTTTATGTGACAAACATTGTATTAATAAAGGAAATGATTATTGTATAATAAAAAAAATGGTGCAGCCACCGCTAGCCGCTCCTAAACAAAACAAATAGGACGACCTTGAACTTCGCAACCTTTCTACTCCCGGAATTGAATCATCAGTTAATTAGCAATTAAATAATTATCCTGATATATCTTGAGTTAGAAACATACCGTTAAGAATATCGGATAAGGACGTGTTAACCAACATTCTAACAGCATTCGGAGTATTTTTATATTTAGCGTTTTCTACTCCCAGTAGCCAGGGAGTAAATGAACAAATGTTATGAACATAAATTTGGCACCTTTTTTTGATGAAAAGCGTCTCTTCGGCCCGGGGTTAAGATCAGGGTGCATACCAAGCCCCCAGTCCCATAGTTGAGGTGAATGGCAAAAGGGCCAAGCCATTCAACATCACAAGATCCATTAGGCAAGGTTGCTCACTATCACTTTTACTCTATGGACTCGTATTAGAACCCTTCTCCCGAAACTAAAAGGGGGTCCTGAGCACTCCTCAATCCGAGGAATTAAGCTATCAGGTAGGGTCACAGCCAGGGTGTCTGCATATGCTGCCTGTTCAGCCGCCGGGACACACGCCGGATAAGCGCAGAAATTCAGCGCTATGAGCGAGTGACAGGGGCAAGGATCAATAGATCCAAATACATCGGACTGAGGCTGGGAGCGTGAAAAGGAAAGGATTTGCGTGGAACATTTGAGTGGACAGATGGACCCGTTTGCATCTTAGGGGTGTGGTTCGGGCCTGATCTCCAGCTCGAGAAAAATTATGCAGAAGTGCAGTCCAAGGTCGACAAGATGGTGAATGCGTGGCTCCACAGGCACTTATCCCTGAAGGGAAGAGCTGAGGTGTGAGTCACGTACATCTACCCCCTGAACCTCTACAGACTCTCAGTCCTTCCCATCACAGCAAAGAAGCTGATCACATTCCAGAGGCTCCTCTCTAAATTGCTCTGACTGAGAGGACGACCAATGGTGCGCAAGGAAGTCTGCATTTAATGCCCATGTCATGGAGGCTTGGGTTTGCCTCAACTGCTAAGCCATAAGCGGGTTTTGAGACTGACTTTTCCGATGGCCAGGAACCCAGTATGGGGGCCCTGCGCTGCAGTTGCCTTTCCAGGGTTCAGGTGTGACTCATTGCACTGTTCCGTAGAAGCATGTTGTGGTCCCACAAGAGAATCCGCATTTCTCTGAGTGCCGAGTGGCACTGTCCATGACGCCCCTCCCCCACAGAGGGTAGGCCCAACGAGAGGGAGAAAGACTCTTTATCGTGGTCTGGTAAAAGACGCTACCCTGATTTGGCCTGACAGAGGAGGAACTCCGGTCACACTGACACTGGGCCCAAAGTACTGATTTCCTCACCAACTCTGAGATCTCTCTGACTTGGCGCCTGGCACGAAATGCCTTCCCCGTCAACGATATCAGTTTTAGGATGGGGGTAACCGAAGCACCCAAGTGCTGGACATGCAGTGATCCAGAAGAGACGGCCGAACATGCCTTCTATCACTGTCCATAAATGCACCCACTATGGAAATATGTAGAGGATCTGGTCGCTCGTTTGGAGCCTGAAAATGTAGTATTCCTTGACGTCTCCTATGTATGCAATAATGTGGCCCCTAAATGGGAGGGCCTGAAACACACGATGTTCCTCACACTCTTAACTATAGCTAGAATGGTTGTGTAGAACAGCAGGCAATTCGTGGTCTTACATGGAGATATGTTGTCTCATCATGACCTCATTTCATTCTTCAAATATCAGCTCAAGGTGAAGATAAGATGTGACAAACAAAGACTGGCCAAGAAGGACTTCTTTGACAGATGGGTAAAAGAAACCAGTTTGGTAAGTGTGAAAGTTGCCAAACTAGAGTGGCTTTAGTCTGTTACCATGGTACACTCCATCAGTATTCGAACAACCTGGTAAAATGAAACCTGTTGTGTGATCCGTACCCACCCCTACCGCTGTTCAGATCCCACTCAGCCCCTTGCATGTTAGTATTTATAGCATAAATGATGATCTGCAAGTAGTATAGAGTGGTAGGCGACGGATGAAAAGAGATTGACGAAAGGAATATTGTTCGTGTGGTTGAGTTGAATGGAAGAGTAATTTCATTTTTTAGTACTAGACTTTGCATGACAACCCCCCCACCGCATTTTTTCCCTGGCCTTGTCTCGAATCGATGTATTTTTGTCAATAAATATAAAGATCAGGGTTTAGTATCTGTGCGCTGCCCTTTGGATCTCCTCGGTGCCCCGCTGAGGGATTCCCTTCAGCCTGATCCCGCTTTCCACGGTTGATACGCACTGAAAGTTGTATCACCTTAACGACTCGGCCCTGTTTAGGGAGGAGGTTTCCATCCCGCAGATTGAATATTTCCGACGATTCACCCGAATCGTTGAAGTGTACGGTCAAGAGGCAACCATTTAGGCCTATTGATCAACATCCCGTCGTCGACACATCCAGTTCGACCGTCGACACGACAAGTCTGACCGTACACTAACTTCCCATCGTCGACACGTCCAGTTCGACTGTCGACACGACGGGAACGTCTGCACCTCAACTTCCCGTCGTCGACACATCCAGAACGACCGCACCTCAACTTCCCGTCATCTATACGTCCATTCCGACCGTCGACACGTCCGGAACGACCGCACTTCAACGACCAGTCCGACCGTCGACACGTCCGGAACGACCGCACTTCAACAACCAGTCCGACCGTCGACACGTCCGGAACGACCGCACTTCAACGACCAGTCCGACCGTCGACACAACCGGAACGACCGCACCTACACGTCCTACTGTCGACACGTCCAGTTTAATCGTCGACACGACCAGAACAACCACATCTCAACTTCTAGTCATCGACACGTCGGGTTCGGCCACACTTCAATTACCTGACATCGAAGCCCGACTAACCAACAGAATATGAAACACAAATCAGATAAGTGTCATTTATTTCAAACAGGTATGTATTTGGATTTCCTCCCCGATGCCTTGACTTCAACCGCTAAAAGAATATGCTTTTAGCAATTCATCTATTGTCTTTGTCGTTAAGTATGGTGTTTCTTGTATAAAGTATGCTTTTACAATGTTCAATTGTCTCACTTTGTTCATCAAGCCATGACCCTGTTTGGAAGGTCGATAAATTTCCCACAATACAGAATTTCAATCCTTTTGATTCTTTATAAATCAACAACTGAAATCTTTTCAAAGCCACATGTACCGTACAGCTGGCCCACGGACACCTCACGATTTAATTTTTTTTTTTCAGCACTTCAGCTTGAATAGAAAAAATATTTTTCTTTTCCTCCAACGTGGGTCTTTCTTGCTGCTTAAGTTGACAGCTCTTTATTATTTACAAGACAAAATCCCCTATATTTTCATTACATTCAGATTGTTTATTGCACTAAATCTTTTTAATAAAACAGTTTTTTTTTTGTTTTGTTAGGAAATTAGATTCCTTAAGTCAACTCTATCTAATGCTGATAGGAGTTTTTTTTCTTTCTATCCTTTCGAGATCTTAACAATGATTGTCTTATTACTATCCTTCCCACTCGCAAGAGTGGAAAGGATTGTTATATAATGGAAAGTTTGATTATATCATTCTCTTCATTTTTTTTTTGTTACTGTTGGGAGTGTTCACAGGGCGTCCCCGGTCTGGTGGGCCCCACCGAATCTATGACACGCCCCCACTCTACTACATCTCAACTTTCATAAGGTAGTATTTATATAAAATACAATATTGAATTATTGTAACCTAATTATCACAATAATGGATCATATGAAATATAGGTGAACACGAACACTTTAACTAGAAAATTTTAAAATAGAAAAAGTGTATCTATATACAAAACAAATGAAAGACATGTCATAATAAAATAGATAATTCCATCTTAAATAAATTCAACAATGCTTTGCGCTTAACATTTTCTTGTTAAAAAGTTGAACAATTTTAACACATTCAACAATCAACATTATTGGATAAAATAGTGAATTTTATATAGTGTCATTTCGAGACTTAGCATAAATAAATAAAAAAAACTATTCACGGATTTGTTGCGGGAGCGGAGATAGGTAACCTTGTTATTGTTACTGTTGTTTAGATTAATTCCTTCACCCCCCACCTCGGCACATGTAAATTCAAGTAAAAAGAATACATCGACTATGGGTAAATAAATGTATATTTACATACATACAAAACTAATAATTTTTATCTGTTGCTGTTACTAAGGCAACAGGGGGAGCGAGTGAAGTTAGAAGTGAAATAGACATTGTTGATGGCTGTCGTTGTCAGTAGTGTTTCTCTCTCAGCGTGTCAGTGTTGACATGAAGGCTAGTTTTTGTCGCGTCTCTCAGCTTGTCAGTGTTGACACCCAAGTTGGTCTGTGTTTTGTTTGAATTTAGAGAATATATAGTCGTCCAGGAGAGGAGAGAAAAAAAAAAACACCCCCAGAATTACGTCAACATCCGTGAAAATGCTGCATCCTTTAATTAATTAAATTTAATTCATTTTTAATTTAATAGTCAGTTGTGCTTAGTTTAATTAATTTGTAACGTATATAAATGTAGGGAGAAAAAAAAAAGCAAATGTTGATAAGATAACGAGTGTCACAAAACACTATGCAGGGATCCCCAATTGGGTTTGCCCCCAAGTCAGGCGGTTTTGGCGATAGTGCACTCCGGCCCTGAGTTTTCAGCTGTATAGGATACAAATCCTATATTCCAGCAAATGACTAAAAAAACACAAAGTAGATTTGCACACCCGCAAAATCGGATCAAAACGACCAAAAAAAGATTTCACAATAAGGTGTGAAATTAATTTTCGGACCAATGAAAGGAGGCGATTTGCTAAACCAAAAAAAATTTAACGAGCCAGTGTGAAAAAAAAAGTCAACAATAAATACAGAGTTTTCAAGTCAGTCAGTCAGTCAGTCAGTCAGTCAGAGAAGGGCGCAAAAGATCACAGAAGATTGACAGTAAATTCCATCACTGACTCAACCCAAAAAGTGGAGTAGGAAGGAGGAGGAGGAGGAACAACAACAACAACAACAACAACAAAAAAAATTACAACTGACTCCAAAACAATTCATAAGTACATTTTCCTTTTATCTTTATTCCTTATTCACACTCTTTTCAACTTAAATTGCTCGCCCTTTTTCATTTTACAACTATACAAAACAAAAGAAACAGACATTATTCTGCTACTCTGTTAAAAGACAGCGAACACAGACATTTTTATCAAAATCACATTTTTGCTTAAACGAACTAAAACATTAATCTTTTTTACCCTATTTACAAGATAATAAATATACAATGTTCTATTTTCCATAAACGTTCCTTATCGTGTTGTTTCTTATTGAAATTTGCGTTGTATTTTGTGGGCAGGGTATCCCGTATTAAATTCTCCTTTAATCCGGGTACGCTGAACCCCCACAGCTGATGTATATTTTGTTATTTTTAAAAAAGCATTTCGTTTGTGATTTTCTAATGTCAGTCTATGAATGAGTTTTGGTTTGTGATTGGAAATAGATATTTACTTATTTTAGTTTGTCACAAAACCACGATAGCGGACATTTTAATTATTGATTGGACACACACACACACACACACACACACACACACACACACACACACACACACAAAACAGTTATGTACAAAGGATATTTTAGATATTTCTAAATGAGTTGGACGTCATGCCTGGCATCCATATGAAAGTCTAGATGACGATATTTAAGATCAATACGCTAGACAAAAGTCTAGTACAGGAAAAAACAAAACAAAAGTATCAATGGAACCTATCTTTGTTCAACTAACTATACTAATTTTGATATGTTATACTCTGCTTCAAATTATATCGCTTTCAGATTCACTCTACATCAAAACTTGTCGGCCGGATGTGAACGCTACGAAAGCAAAAATAAAGTTATAAAATACAATTAAAAATGACAGAGCCAATCACGAACAAAGCAAAAATATGACAGAAAAGGGTGAGTCATGTATCCACCTTGACTGCTTAAAATGACCCAATCACAACACTCAAGGCAGTAAGTAGGCAGTCACTGGGTTCACCAGTGACCCAGTAAGTTTTAACCGACCCAACACAAGCTTCTACGCCAGGCCCGTAGACAACCGACATCCACATTCTCCACGTCGCATGTCAGATATATTTTCCTTAAGGAAAATAGCAAATCCTTATAAAAAAAATTATTTTGTAAAAAAAAAAGTTAAATTTTGTGCATTTTTATGGCCTTTTTAGGCTCAAGCAGCGAAGCGCCAAGATCTTGTGAATCTACCTTTTTTTTGAATGCTCGGAAAATGATTTTACATATATTGGCCAATGGAGATCAAGTTTTTCTAGCACCTAAAATTTTTGTCTGGAGCCGAATTTTATGACCCCCATTGAGAATAAAACTGACTGCTATCAAGAAGGGGAAGAGAGTTGAAAAGAAAACGGCAGAGCGTCAATTTCGGCCGGGGCAGTTTTCACAAGAGATCACATAAAAGGACAGTCCGGGGAGAGGTTATAAATCTGACGTGACAGATACAAAGCTGAGAGATCCTTTACAACAGAGCTTAGTGTCATAAAAGATTGTGCCTTGTGCCATATTGTGAATCCTCTTATTTCAAGTTTCCCCTTATTTTTTTGTATTTTCGAATGGATAGATTTTGTATATACGTATCCGTTGGTCTTATTAACATTTTTGGTGACTTGTATTTTTCCCTGTTTCTGAGTGGAATCTTTTTATTGCTTCCTGAAAGAGGCGCACAAAAGGAAATGTTTGTGCAACCCTTGTTTTGTATCTGTCTATATTTCTGAGATGAGGTATTATGTACACTATTTACATTATTCGGACTATTGTTCTCATCTTTGTCGCCATATTTATTACAACGTTTCAGCCGTTCAGTATCTGTCTATATTTCTGAGATGGGGTATTATGTACACTATTTACATTATTCGGACTATTGTCCTCATCTTTGTCGCCATATTTATTACAACGTTTCGGTCGTTGTACGCTCCGACCTTCTTCAGGTGGTTGGAATGTCGAACTGAACACTTTATTTCGGTCGCTGGGGTAGACTGTTCTATGTTTCATGTGCCATGTTTAATGGATGTCAGTTATCAGTTATCTCCTCTTAATTCTCCTCTCCAAGTTCTCCACTCCCTTAACCACTTGCCTTATTGAACTCACACTCTTTGGGTCCTGTCACTGGATCTAGCCAACGCCTTTTATCCACTGTGCCATGTGTCCTTGAGGACATCTGTGTATTGAATTTCTGGGTATTATAAACGTAATGTCTCAGGAACCATTTTTTACCAGTGCTCATATTGCAATTTTTTGCTGTTATCATTGCGTGTTTTTACCAGAGCTCATATTGCAGAAAAAGCGGGACACGCCCTTGTCCGAGAGAGAATCCAGTACAATCGTTGGATAAAACAGAGACTAAAAGCTCATATCTCCCAGAGATTATCTCTTCAACAGAATTACCAATGAAGAAGACCGGAGAAGGATCCAAAATGACCTGGACTTTTCAAATTTGTAATTGTAAATAAATGTGTTGTTCCTTTTAAAATGTTACGCAGTGGTGGGTCTTACGCCCATTTTCGAGATTTGCTGTTTTCTAAGTTTTGTGTCTGATACAAGAACTTGAAATTGGTAGGAAAGCAAAATTTTTACATCTTGCACAAAAATCTTTTATGTTGCTGTGTAAATGTTTACATCTTGCACAAAAAATGTTTTGCGTTATTGTAGTGAAGCATAATTTTTATATCCACTGCAACGGCCAAACATTAAATGTTGGCCTTTGGCAGCCGCCGTTATATTGCTAAATAGAATATTGTGTTTGTTTAATTATTAAGCATTTTAAATGTTTTTAAAAGAATCTTTTTTCATTGACGTTTCAACCATTTCTTTAATTAACAGTATATGT